CTGTGGTGTCATCGTAGCTCACAGCAGCCTCAAACTCCTGGGCTCAAGCGATCCTCCTGCCTCAGCTTCCCCAGTAGCTGGGGTCCAGGTGCGCACCACCACACCTGGATCATTTTTTCTATTTTTAGCAGAGATGGGATCTCACTCTTGCTCAGGATGGTCTCAAACTCCTGACCTCAAGTGATCCTCCCGCCTTGGTCTCCCAGAGTGCTGGGATTATAGGCGTGAGCCACCGTGCCTGGCCTTTAATGCTCTTTGTTATTTGTGTGACCGTGGGTGAGTTGGGACAGCTCGTCCGTTTCCAAGTATGCTGCGTAGACTCCATCAGGCTTAGAAATTAGAGTTCTAGAGAACTTCGCTACATACCAGTAATAACCAGTTGGAAAATATTATTGGAAAGAGATCTCTCTCACAATAATAAGAAAAGAATACCAAGTTCGAAGGAATAATCTTGATATTAAATTGTGTAAGAGCAGTATGAATAAACCTACAAAACTCAAAACCATTAAAAAAAAAGGCTGGGCGTGATGGCTCACACCTGTAATCCTAGCACTCTGGGAGGCCGAGGCGGGAGGACTGCTTGAGCTCAGGAGTTTGAGACCAGCCTGAGGAAGAGCGAGACCCTGTCTCTACAATAAATAGAAAGAAATTAGCTAAACAACTAAAAATAGAAAAAATTAGCCGGGCATGGTGGCGCATGCCTGTATTCCCAGCTACTCAGGAGGCTGAGACGGGAGAATCCCTTGAACTCAGGACTTTGAGGTTGCTGTGAGCTGGGCTGACGCCACGGCACTCTAGCCCAGGCAAGAGAGTGAAACTCTGTCTCAAAAAAAACACAAAAAAACATTAAAAAAGACCTAAGTGGTCAGAAAGACATACTATATTCTTCTCCTATAAAGATTTAAATTCTCCCTAAATTATTCTATAAATCCATTAAATCCTCATCAAAATTCCAACTTCTATCTTAAAATCAAATTTGAGAAGATGAGTCTAAAACTCATATGGAAAAGAAAATTGAGGGGTAAGAGAAAACTCAGCTGAACTTCCCCGCTGGATCACAGAACTGAACACTGACCATTTGGCGTGTGGTGATGGGTTCAGACTAGACAAGTACATCGTGGAACTGAGGAGAGTCCAGAAAGAGATGGGAAATGTGTGGGCCGCTCAGTGCATGACGTTTCTAGTTACAGGCAAAGGATAGAGTCTTCAGTAAGTGGTGTTAGGACAGTTGGCCTTATATTTGGAAAAAAAATAAGGTAAATCTGTAGCATCCAGCAGGAACAAAAGGTAAATCTATAGCATCCAGCAAGAACAAAAATAAATCCTGAGTAGCTGGGACTACAGGCGCACATTACCATTCCTGGCTAATTTTTTAAAATATTTTGTAGAGATGGAGTCTCACTGCGTTTCTCAGGCTGGTCTCGTACTCCTGGCTTCCAGCAATCCTCCTGCCTCGGCCTCCCAATTTTCTGGGATTACAGGCATGAGCCACCATGCCTGGTCCTGTACTATACTTTTTATTGTTATTTTAGAATGTACTCCTACTTATTAAGAAAAAAGAAGTTAACCGTAAAGAGCCTCAGGTAGGTCATTCAGGAGGGATCCAGAAGGCATTGCTGTCATGGGAGCTCTTCCAGTGGGACAAGGTCTGAAGGTGGAGACAGGGACACTGATGTCCTGACCCTGTGTCGGCCGGGCTAATGTGTACGTTTGTGTCTTAGTTTTTAACAAAGAAGTTTAAAAAGTTAAAAAAAAATTTTTTTTTTTTTTCAAAAAACAGAACAAAGCTTATAGAATAAGGATGTAAAGGCTGGGTGTGGTGGCTCACACCTGTAATCCCAGCGCTTTGGGAGGGCGAGGCAGGAGGATCGCTCGAGGCCAGGAGTTCGACTCCAGCCTGAGCAAGAACAAGACCCCGTCCGTCTCTACAAAAAATAGAAAAAATAGCCAACTGTGGTGGCGCGTGCCTGTCGTCCCAGCCACTCGGGAGGCTGAGGCAGGAGGATCACTTGAGCCCAGGAGTTTGAGGCTGCGGTGAGTTACAGTGACACCATTGCACCCTACCTGGGGTGAGAGAGCAAGACTCTGTCTCTGAAGAAAAAAAAATTACATGTGGATTAGGATGCTGATGAATTGGCTTTCTCCTAGTGTGTTGCTGGGAGAACAATTTGAGTCCGTTTCTGAAAGGGTTTTAGCACTATTAAAGTTTTAAACAAACGTGCATTCCAACAGAGCCTTTTCTCCTTGGTATCTTTCATATAGAATTATTTGTAAAAAAGCAGAAAATGTATATGAATGGTTATCATTGCTTTATCTTTTTTTTTCTAGTTTTATTGGGGAGTTTTTGGTAATTACAAAATATGTACGTGCTCGAGTGAAATAGTGCGAGGCTGTCCAGTGAGGAAGGCCAGGTCGCACTCCCCATCAGAACACAGAGCTTCCAGGCAGTTCTGGTAACAGCCTGTGCTCAGCCCTTTTGCAGCTGTCTGGAGAGATGGTGCCCGTGAAGGGTCTGGGGCTGTGAGTGGTGGAAATAGGGCACCGCCGTCCCGATGTACTGCTGTTCGCTTTATTCTCCTATAACTACTGTGAACAGCCTTTTAGGTCACTAGGTATAAATCAGATTTTTTAAGGATAGCTGCATAATTTGTAGTAAGTACTCTTTCCTTTAAAAAAGACATTGGGGCTGGGTGTGGTGGCTCACACCTGTAATCCCAGCACTTCGGGAGGCTGAGGTGGGAGGATCGCTTGAGGCCAGGGATTCAAGGCCAGTCTGGGCAGCATAGCAAGACCCTATTGCTAATAAAAAGAAAAAAAATTAAAAATTGGAAAAAGTCTAAGTATCCATCAGTAAAGAAGTGGTACAGAATTATGGTTTGGTAGCACTGGAGAACTGCAGCCATACTACGGGATGAGTGAGCCTCTAACGTGGGAGGATCTTAGACGCCTTTGTTAGACGAACAGGTCCTCTGCAGAGCTGTGCTTTTCCCCTGGTCCTAGTTACGTGGGGGAGGAAGCCGAGGGTGGGATTCCGTGCCTGCACGTGTGGGAACATAGACGGGGACTGGAAGGCCCATGTCAGGTGTCGACAGGGCTTCCCCCAGGTGTGGGCTCCCGCAACGGGAAGCCAGCGCTGTGGCGTCTGAATCTTTACACTCTGTGACGAGGACGTGGCACCTTCCACGTGTCCGTGAGGATGCAGAGGGCAGGCCTGGGGAGTGGGCATGGGCTGCCACTTTTTCTGGCTCCCATCCGTGGGGTCTTTGTTCCAGCCCTTTCTTGTTGACCCCCTAGGATCTGTGGCAGTTTTGAAATAATCCGACTGGGGTTTTGACCCCTTTGCCCAGGGCGGTGCTGGCCAGTTGGTTGGCAGTGTCTCCAGAGCTCCTAAGGAGCTCCCTTCCCAAGTCTGCATGTTGCATGACGTGAGGAAAGCGGTCCGTCCGTGGTGGAGCACTGCACCGCCAGCACGCAGCGCTCCGCGCAGTGAGTCTCGTCGGTGAGGGAGTCCGGGGTGTGAAGGGAAGAGCAGCTCGTAGACGCTGAGTGATGTCCGCCTGCAACTCTGGTTTTTGTGTAGAAGCCTCGCAAGCATTTCCGGCGGGGACCACCCCACCTGCAGATTAGAGCCCCCAACAAGGACTCGAAGGCTGGGACGCAGGATGGCGCTGAGGAGAGGGCAGGAGCCTCCAAGGCTGCTCACCAGGAGGGGGACCTGCAGAGGACGGCCATCAGGTAGGCTGTCGGCGGGGCCTGGGCCTGCAGGGCTCTTGAGTCCCGAGAGACAGGAACCGAGAACCAGCATCGCACGGACAGCACGTGCTCTCTATCCGCTTTCATTAAACTTCGATTACAAAATCAAATTCTAAAAACTGGAGGTCAGAGCTAAATGAGGTTGACGCTCTCATGCTTTGCAGTAATGTTTTAGAACAAGGCCCTTTTTAGCGTGTGAGGGGCACGCGTGTGGTGGGGCGCAGCAGGGGCTGGGCCTCGGGTGGGGAGCAGGCGGTGTGGAGGTGCACAGCGGCTGGCGGGGCCCCCTTTTCCCACACCGCTTCAGGTCGGTCAGAGAGCAGGGCGAGAGGGCTCGACCCTATGCCCAGGCCCCCAGGGTGCTGTCCCCAGCAGCCTGCTCCGGGTCCGGGTCGTAGGAGCCTGGCGAAGCCTTGAGGGGTTTCAGCCTTGGCTCCTGTTTGATGTAGTCGAGGCAGAAAGCGGGCTCCCCGCGGGCGCTCCCCTCCCCTGGCGCAGCCACAGCAAGCCTGCCTTGGGGACTGCAGGGCCAGACCTGAGCTCTGCTCCCGAGCGAATGGTGGCCACAGGCAGAGGCCAGGAAGGGTGCTGCCCTGCGGGAGTGGCCTGAGCTGGGCACGCCTAGCCTTGAGAGGGGAGACGGGCAAGCGCGGGAGGAAAAAGTAAGGCCCCCGGCAGCTCCTGTTCACGTTTGCATGACGAAAGGTTTTACCTTCAGAGTGAAAGAGCATTTTGACCTCAGCTCGTAAATGCACCGCATTTGTGCGTCCGAGACGTGAACCGTGAACGGATTTAAGAGGCATTTCTTTCGCCAAGCCTGGGACCAGGAGGTTGTGTGTCCAGCCCTTTCCTGATCTGCAGACCGTGGGACAGAGCCCTAGACAGGGAATTTGGGGTGGCCCTGTGTCCCAAGTGTAGAGACAGTCCCAGATTGTATGGCCATCCCAGCACCTAGTCCATGTCCCTTCACCATGTCACCCACGCCCTGGTTTGGGTGATAAATTATGGCCTCAGCCTCTGGCCACCACTTCCCTCTGCAGTGTAACTTCTCACATTCCACACGCTTTGGTCTGTGACCCCAGGACGCTCCCCTTCCTAGGCCAGCAGGGCACTGTTCTCCACATCCCAGCGTGCCCTGACCTGTTCTCCCCGCAGCCCCCTCGCTGGAGCAGGGCGTGACCCCGACTTGCAGCCCGGGCGTGTCCGCGCTGCGTTGTGTGGTTTCCCTCCCGTGCAGCAGCCTGCGGCGGTGGGGGGACGGGCCCTGCCTTGCCGCAGCTGCCGCGTGCAGGGTGGGGAGTGGGAAGCCCTTAGCCGAGTCACTGGCGCCGGCTCAGGGCTCTTCCTTCTCTCCCCGGAGCTGGCGGGGAGCAGTGATTGAGCCCGAGCAGGACAGCGAACTGTCTTCAAGAAAAGCAGAAACGCCGACCAAGCCTTCCGTGCTGCCGGCCATGGTGCAGAACAGACCAGGTGAGGCTCACGTGGGCATCATGAGGGGGCTGGCGGTTGACACACACCCTGAACCGCATCCAGGCGTGGTATGTGGCCCTGCCGTGTGACCTCCTGTGTGCACCTGTGCTTCCCTGTGCACGTGCTATCCCAGGTCCTCACAACCTTGGTGACAACATGTGGCTTCATGGCAGCCTGTTGTCCCCGTGTCTGAGCGCTGAGCTGTGGGAGGAGGGGTGTGTGTTTGGGGGTCTGATGGTGCCGCTCTGCCTGGGCTAGCTGGCCATCGGGGTGTGAGGAGCTGTCCTCCACGTGCCCACTGGTCTCTGGGCCTGATGGCCCCTCAGGCAGCTCTGGGGGCCGCTCTGCTCCGAGCACCGTTTGTCGAGGGTGCCCTAGGTCTAGGCGTTTGTCTGAGCTCCGCGCACGTCTGGCCTCCTGCGGCTCTTGCGGCCACTCTGAGGTGGTAAGCGCCTTCACGTTCCCACTTTGCACGTGGGAGAACCGAGGCTTAGGTCTGTCTCCACCAGCGTTGTTCGTATCATGCGGGGACCCGCACCAGGTCGCTGGGTCCAGAACCCAGCACGTGGCCCTGCTCTGATGCTACCGGTGCCTCCCGGGTGTGAAGGACACTAGGACTCCCTGTGGCATTAGGAATGGACAGGCAAAGCTGTGGTGGCACGAGGAGCACTCAGACCCTTATCTGAGAGGATGTGTGGTACGATGCTGTTCCACGCGCTTCCGTCTACACAGAAGTCTGTGTGTTTCGTGTGGTCCTGACCAACACAGGAGAAGAAAACACCCCAAATTTGAGAGGAGGTCAGCTCTGGAAAGGGGTGCAAAGGGGACATCAGTGTGTCTGTACCGTACTGTGTCCTTGTTCAGGGCATAAAGCTGATATGGCAGAACGTGACCGTGTGTAAGTTTAGGGTGTGCTTGGCGAAGTCTGCGCCCGCTAGTATTTAACATTTCCCAGTCCCCACCGCGTGCAGCAGCAGCGGGCCCTCGCGGCCCTCATCTGTTGCTTCAAAGGCCTTTGCTCGCTGTGTTGTCCTCGCAGCCCTGGGGGTGCAGCCCTTCGATCAGATGCCACCGAGCCCCGGGAGGGGCTTCGCCTGCCTGGGCCCTGGGAGAGGTGGACGGGCCCCAGGCAGGTGGGTGGGAGCCCGGGGGTGCTCTGCAGCCTCCGGAGCCTCTCGCCTTGGCAGGCTGTGTCCTCCCTGAGGAGCCGTCTGTCCCTGCACTGCTGCTCTTCCTGCCCCTGTCATTCTACACGCGGTTCCAGACAGGGTCCCCACCCACCATCACCTTCGCTGCCTTGAGAATCACAGAGGTGTTTTGCCCAGAGGGGCCGCGTCTGTGCCCTGACACCAGGACAGTGTCCTCCACAGCCCGTACTCTCTCTCCCTCCTAGCGCACCCCAACTACCGCCAGAAGGGGGTGGTCGACGTCTTCCTGCATGCATGGAAGGGATACCGCAAGTTCGCCTGGGGCCATGACGAGCTGAAGCCCGTGTCCAGGTCCTTCAGCGAGTGGTTTGGCCTTGGCCTCACTCTGATCGACGCCCTGGACACCATGTGGATTTTGGGTCTGAGAAAAGGTATCCAGTCATTTCCGGAGAGGGGCCGAGTGCTGCGTGTGTGGCTCATGGCTGCAGTGTGTGAGGGTCACGCGTGGGCGTAAAGCTGCCATTTCCATCTAGCCACGCGCGCTCCCTTCTCCTGGGCACGTGAGTGGACGTGCTTGGTGCAGTCGGTTCCTGTCCTTCTAGCATCCAGCCACCCAGGGCACTCTCAGGACAGCTGTCCCCTGGTCCTCCGCGAGAGCTAAGAGTGAACTCTGGGTAGACATCCAGGGAGCATTTCCAGCCTGTTTCTGTTGCAGCTGGGGGGACCGGGGGTGATGAGTGACTCGGGGTCTGGCGTGGGCCCATCCAGCTTGGAATCTCCATAATGTCCTCTTCAGGTCCACTGTGAGTGGGAGGCTGTGTCCTCGTCTCTTAAGTGATATTTATTTTAAGTGTTTGCGTAAGTTTTTGAATAGGTCGAAGACCACCAATAAATTACTCATGTAGTCTTTTGTATCGTGGCCTTTGGTTGTGAACCATTTGTGTCACGACGGCTGTGCTGCTGGCTGTTTTATCTGCATGTGTTGAAGAATTCAGGATTTGCCCCCTTGAGACGGGAGGTGGCACTGAAGGCCTGTAGGGGCGATACACTCAGAGCACATTTTGAAGATTGCTAGATCATAGGAGAATGATAGGACTATTAATTTATTTCCGTATCCTTTACTGTTTTATGTTATAGAATTTGAAGAAGCCAGGAAGTGGGTGTCAAAGAAGTTACACTTTGAAAAGAATGTCGACGTTAACCTGTTTGAGAGCACGATCCGGGTCCTGGGGGGGCTTCTGAGTGCCTACCACCTGTCTGGGGACAGCCTCTTCCTGCGGAAAGCCGTGAGTGTCCCTGCATGCCCTGGGAGGACATGTGACAGGCACTCAGGCTTTCACTGGGGGAGGCATGGGAGTTGACTGGGGCCCCGTTTCTCTCCGAGATGTTTGCGTCTCTCGCTTTGCCCGCTGTGCGTGAGCTGCACGGTGTTGGGAATGTTCACCGCTGTTCACTGCAGCCTGTAGAAAGGATTTGCTCAGTGCTGCTGAGTCCAGTTGCTTTTTTGCTGTGCGCGGGCATTGGAGAGCCGTCACACCTGCCTCTCCACTTAATGGATGAAAATGGTGACGGTTAGAGTCAAGACATGTAGATGAGGCCCCTGCGTGACCCGAAACGCTGATTCTGTGCTGTGGCTCGTATACCAGGAAGATTTTGGAAATCGGCTGATGCCTGCCTTCAGAACGCCTTCTCAGATTCCTTACTCCGATGTGAACATTGGCACTGGAGTTGCCCACCCACCACGATGGACCTCAGACAGCACGGTGGCCGAGGTGACGAGCATCCAGCTGGAGTTCCGAGAGCTCTCGCGTCTCACGGGCGTTAAGAAGTTTCAGGTAGGGAGGCTGGGTTTCTGGTTGGACACAGTTTCCCACTGGAGTCAACCTTTGCTCATCACAGCAAGTGCAGTTTGTGTGTGTGTGTTAATCTCGTTTTTACATTTTTCTTGTGATAAAACACAAAATGTACCATCCTAACCGTTTTTAAGCGTACGTTTCAGTGATGTTACGTCTGTTCATGATGTTGTGCAGCCATTACCACCGTCTACCTCCACAGCTCTGCGTTATGTAAAGCTGGAGCTCTGCGCACAGTACACCACGGCTCTCCACTCCCGTCTCCCCAACCCCTGGCACCCACCGTTCTACCTTCCGTCTCTATGCATCTGTCTGTGCTAGGTACCTCGCATAAGCAGAATCACACAGTGTTTGTTCTTTAGCGACTGGTTTATTTCACTTGGCAGAATGTCCTCCAGTTTCATCCATGTTGTGGCATATTGCAGAATTTCCTTCCTTTTTAAAGCTCAGTAGTATTCCCTTGTACGTAGATACCAGATTTCGCTCATCCGTTCATCTGTCAGTGGGTCGACGGATGCTTGGGTTGCTTCTGTGTTTTAGCTGTTGTCAGGAATGTCGCTGTGAACGTGGGTGTACAGATAGCTGTTCTAGAGCCTGCTTTCCGTTCTTTAGGGTATATACACAGAAGTGAAATTGCTGAATCATATGGTAATTACGTTTAATTTTTTGAGGAACCGCCACACTGTTTTCTATGGCAGCTTCATCATTTTGCATTCCCACCGACGGTGTACAAGGGGTCCAGTTTCTCCACATTCTCACCAACACTTGTTACTTCCTGGTTTTTTGATAGTAGCCGTCCTAATGGTTGTGAAGTGATGCTCATTGTGGTTTTGATTTACATTTTCCTAATGTTAGTGATATGAGAGTGATACATATGTGTTTGTTTGTCTTCTTTGTCTTCTTTGGAGTAATGTCTGTTCAAGTCCTTGAACTGGCCCATTTTTGAATTGGTTGGGTTTTTTCGTTGAGTTTTAGGATTTTCATATTTATTCCGGATATTAACCCTTTATCAGAT